AAATTTTAATTTAACCTATTTCACTTTGTTCGGAAGTTATAGTAATTTAAAGTGACATAAAATATTATGCTGATCAAGAATGTATATACTTTGTGAAGTCTAAAATGTTTATTTTGAGGAATTACAAACGGAATGACAAATTTAATATACCCTCCATAGCAAGGCATAATTAAAGAAGATAAAACAAAGGTACCTCCTAAATACAATTTGTTTCTTTTGGTGCCCTGTCAGAGCATAAACACAGTTTGTATATGTGTGTGTATTGTTTTGTATAAACAAGATAAAAATTGGATTTTTTTTCGAATTTATTGTCCCTCTATCTTAGTTTCAAATTTGTGAAAACCATATCCCATTCATGTTTTGTGGATTCTCCCCAATACTTACTATTTTGTGAAATATGTAACATAAACAAAACCAATTGTTGCATGTTTAAAAGTCTACCTCACTCTTTAAGATTCCAGCACAGAATTGCACTTTCCTAGTTTATTTGAAGTTGAGTAACCTTTCTTATTGAACCATGCTCCAAAATATGGTGGAGGCTATAAAAAAAGGAAAATCTAAACAAAAACAAATTTGACTTGAAAAATGTTTTTTTATGGTTGCTTGGAAGGAACAATAAAGGAAGTCATGGCTCCAAAGTCCTAAGAATACTGTTTGCAATTGGAAATTAAATTATATTGGCAGTGAGTTCGCTTTATGTTGAATTGTTTTCTTTTCGATTGGTATTGAAATTTGAACGTCTGATTAAAGAGACGCCAAAAATTGACCAAATTCGTGTTCCGATAGATAAGTCAATAATCATACAAAGCATGTTTTATGCAAAAGATTATATATTTCTTCAGAAGCGATAATAAAAATAGCAAATGATAAAATTGACCCATAAAAAGGCACACTTATTGGTGTGTTATACGCCTTAATCCAGAGTTCATTTTATACGTCACATAAACAATGATATAATTTTTTGAACTTACAGAGTGAGATGAAAAAACTGCAACCAACTTCAGACTGCTGTCATTTCTAAGCCACTCGTGCGACAGCTGTTAAAATTATAGTGTGATTTCTTTATATTTGGCTGGAAAACCACAAGTGGCTACAGCATTTAAATGTTAATAAATCTTTTGTGTCTCGTACCATCGCTCGTTATCGAGTGGACGGAAGAAAACAGCAACATCGGCAGAAATTGTTCGAAAAGTAAAGATGCGACTTGATCGAAACCGGCGTCGCAGTGGCCGAAAAATGGCTCGTGAGCTGAACTTATCCCAATATTCCATTCGGCAAATATTGAAAAATGAGCTAGGGTAAAGGCATTGAAATTCCAAAAAGTGCAAGATCTTACACCGCAACAAAAAGAAAATAGGTTCAAAAGAGCTTAAGAGTTGCTTCGCTTGGCCGAAAGTGGTGAACTGCCGAATTTGGTTTCCTCCGATGGGGGAGCATTCGTTGTCCAGCAGTTTGTAAACAAACAAAATGATCGTGTTTTCTCGCCAAAGAGGCCAGCTGAAAATGTGCACCTTTCATTTAATTTCCAGCGCACAATTTCCACCAAAATCTCCGGATACCAATCCGTTGGACTATTGTGTTTGAAGTATTTTGAAAAGCAAGGTTGGCACTAAAAAATACCAAAGTGTCGATCAACTCAAGCAAGCGCTCGCCAGGAATGGGCCAAAATACCGCAGAGCAACATTCGGGCAGCATGCTTCATTGGCCGTTTGTGTATTTTGCGAATAGAAAACTAAATTAAAAATTTCGGATGTAGGAGCTCAATTTGGTTTGTACACATTATCAGTTGGTTAATATTAATATTTTGTCTAATAAAGAAAAAATCGAAAATAGTATTTTCAATACAATTACATTCGGACTACTGAGCGTTCAAGATAAAAAACACGTTTTAATTCCCATAAAATAAAATATGTTTGGCACGTGTTTTCTGCTCATAGGAAATAAAGTATGACAAAACATCAGGAATTCCAACATCTCATAATTTATACTACGCACATGTGTAGATATGAAACAATTCTACAACACATTGTATAATACTGTTTTATTAGATAAATTAATTTTTTGGTTAATAACGTAATATATTTTTGCGGGTCATTTACAAATTTTTACGGAATTCTGAGATTATTGATAAGACAAGTTACCTATATGAATTTCATTTTTAGCTGCACATATCATATGGGTCAAAGTCATCGGTTTAAAATTGTATTATTTTAGATTTTTTATAACTTGTAAAAAGAATTGTATAAACTAAAAAAATTTGAATATATTTTTCAAATTGCAATAGCTTTAGTACAGCGACAATGAGCGATCTATGATAACAGTAACACTCCAGACCATTAAAACTGATAGCAAATAAAAAATACGTGGTCGTCAACATGGTTCAATAATGTATTAAAAAGCAATAACAACATGATGTGACGTATGCAATATTTGCACCATTCAACTTTTGAAAATATTTTGCTGCTTTTACATAGATAATGGAATATTTATTTGTAATTGTTTTGAATGCTGTTACTATACCCTAGAAAAATGTGATAAGACGTCTTAATATTTTACAATACCAGTTTTGCAAAAATATACACAAATCTGGTAGAAACCAGTCCATAAATTTACGCACGATTTTGATTTTCTTCAGAGGAGCTCACAAAATACCGTTACGAATATAGAAATAGGAAGTACAACGTCGTCATGATTAATAACAACTATATATTGTAATACCCATATTACATCAAAGCTAATAAAAAGCAAGAAAGGCTGTGAGCAAATGAGGAAAATGTGCACAAACCCAAACCAATAGGTATATAATGTTAAATTAAAGCGTTTTTAATCTATCCTTTTAAAGTATTTTCGTTTCCTTTATTTGTAGTGTTGTAAAGATAGTTTAAGATAAGTACCACATTCTGGGAATATTTTATAGAGGAAATAAAAATATTGATGACGATAATTTTATCTTATCACAGTACTTTCATATCCTTCACAATTAAATGAAGGTTACATAATAATTGTCCTACATAAAACGTTACCTCAATTTATATCGAATAGGATGTATTATGGGATGGTCTACGTTGTGACATAAATCTTATATAGCAGTATCAACCGATTTGAGGATTTCTCAAGGTCCTGGTCAACTTGTCCAGTTAAAATCTTAAAGGGTAGAACACATCCTCCAAGAAATGTTCATTACATTTTTAAAATATTGTATATTTTTATAGAATTTGGACGGATAAAGGATATTCTAAGCGCTAACGGTAAAAAAAAATAAACTTCTAAAAGCAAATATGTATTATTACTATTGTAGACAAGGAATAAAAAGTTAAAGTTGTGGATCTGGGCACAATTAATTGAAGGTAACTTCACAATTCATCTGATCTGATTCTACTGTAATAAGAGTGTCAAATTCATTATGACGTTTTTGTGTTTGAGTCTACTATTTTGAATTTATTTAGTTTTATTTAGAGATCACTATACGTTCATGCATTTAGAAAAATTATTTAAAAGCATTTTAAGAATAAAACATTAAGTGAATTTTCATTCATGGCCTAATGGAACAAAAGGAGGTCAAAAAAATCCTTAAAATTTCCGTTTCTATATTGAAATTGTTAGTGGTTAATCTACCAACAGAAAACGCGATACATAAAATTACAGCTGAACTGGTTGTAAATTGGGGCCTAAATCTCCAAAATAGATTACTTAAAAATTCTGTCCCAAACCTATATATTTAATATATTACTGCAATAAATCACTGTCGTGATTTTAACCGACGATTCGATGACTAATTCGACACAGAACTTAACGCTGACCGTCTCCTACAAATCTTTCGAGTTGTTTCAAACGTATGCTCGGCTCCAGAACCTACAAAAATTCACTAGTTTTATAGTATTTGCATTTTTGCTTTAAAAACTTGAAACATTTTTGGTCTGATCCAAAACTTTCAAGAATCTACTAGTTTTGCATTTTTATTTCGATGTCATAAAGGGTTATCGTAGTTATCGTAGTACAAAATTGTACATTCTTGTAGTTCTGGAACATACCAATTGTTATCTGAGAAGCTTAATGTTCTTGGCACATTTTATTTTATTCATAAAAATGGCTTAACCTTGGCTATAAAAGAACGAGCTCCTATTATACATATGTATGGAAAATGTAGCTGAAACGCAGTTTAGCTACTGGAAGAATTAAATATAGGTTACCATTCTATGGTGACCAAAGAAACTAAAGGATGTTTGAAACCGCCTCTATTTGCAAAGATTAATAAAAATTTTCAGAAATAAATATTACAAATAGAGACACAGAAAATAATTATTTCAGCATCAATATACTATAATATATATACACTTCGTTGATACGTAGTATATGATTTCCAAAGAGGCACTGTGTTTCTTTTTTATTTCAAAGATTAGTAATTTTATTTACTTTTAAAAGCTTTGCCAATTGTAACACTGCCATACCTCGTCTGTACCTGGAAATATTATTAAAACAAACTTCTCTCCCTCTCCATGAAAATGTTTATCTTAAAGAATTTAAAAATAGAATGTTCTATCAGCTAAGCTTGTCTAGGAAAATTGACATTTTTATAATAGATAAATTTCCTCAATATTTATGCAATGTTTGCAATTTTGTTCCAAAACAGATCTCTATGCATCCGCTGCCCAAGTTTCCCGTCAATTTGCACTTTGAATGACCTTGTGATGAATGACCGAACACAACCCATTGGCTTATAATTTTTGTGTCAGTTCGTGGAGGAAAAAAACATACACCTTCCACTCACAACAACGTCAAATTGTTTTTGTTATGTGACAATGAATGTATGCAAAATCATCCATGTACATGGAAAAAAATTCATCTCATTAGAACATTACTTTTTTGCAAAACCAAAAGACAATTATCCAATGCCAAAAATAAAAAAAAACAATATCATAAATATCGATATCCAACCATAGAACTATTCCAAGTAGGTGTCCACTTAACTTATGTCTTACAATTAATGGGCTAAAACTTACTTGGCACGTTGGCTGCAAACGGTTGAGGTTGTAGCCCCCAATATACGATTTGCCGGCAAAAGAGTTTTCACACAAATATTGGCCATGCTATTATATTAAATGCCACCGAACAACTTAGCACCTGCGACTCTTGTGGATGTAACGTACAAACTGAAGAGGGATACATAAGTCGGATTTTGATTAATCGATGTTGAAAAATCTGAAAATTGCTAATTGTAAAAATCGCAATGCCGACTATTTGTAATCGATTTTCGATTTGGATCATATATTTTTACGTTTTTAAGTCAATAGTTGTGTTCCAGTACTTTTTTAGTAGTAAAACTAGCAGAAGAGAGAACAGTTCGAAATGTCATTCTCAATTAGGTGTGCTCAAAAAATAAGGGAACGGAAAATTAGCAGAAATGCGATAAAATGTCAAAATTCAAAATTCCAAGAGTAAACAGTCCAAATCGAACTGGTGAAACCTTACTGAAACGGACGCCAAAATTTAAAAAAAATTAGTATTGAAGACGAAACGTTAAAATTAATAATAATTAATAATCTGATTTATCATTCAGCCAGTCCTCTTCACTACTGGAATCATCCAAAAGTGCTCCATATTTTCTCTTTTTATTTTTTTGGACTACAAATATTAGTTTTTCCTTTAGTTGATCATTTCTTTATTTTTGTTATGACGCGGGAACATTGAAATGTATCAATACATTTTTCAACCTTGTTAGCCCTGCCAATTAAATGTCAAATTCACAATTTGCACATTTCTGCTCGGCCAAATTCATGTAGCTAAAACAAGCAGAAATGTGCACCACTCAGCGCCATTTTTTTCTCGAGAGAGCTGCAAGTTTTGCTAGTTTTTGCAGTACGGGAACGCGTTGTAGCAGAATTAGTACTAATTAGTACTAATTTGTAGGTTCTGGAACACAACTAATAATAACGTGTTCTCATCGTAATATTATAAATTTTGAATGAAAAATTATTCAAATTTGTAAAAAACTTTTAAAAATGCACTTATTTAAAAGAAAAAAAAACATTTTAACATTTTTGACGTTTCAATTTTCTCGAGCGTTGATGCATCTACCCATGGTACAATGATATCAAGGTAGGGCTATGATACCATATGATTTCAATTTTTTTATTTTCTTGGCTTAATATGTCATCTTTATTTGTTTATGTATGTGTTTTCTTTTCAATAACAAAAAAATTGTTCAGAAAACACTCAAATTCGGATGTTTTCAAAATGTTTATTTCATTGTATGCATCGACAAAATCTAGAGTTTTTGTAGCGAAATAATCCTTTAAAGATATATAAAACCTGGTTTTGAAAAGAAGTGTTGAACTTTCATTCAGTTTTCGCGGTTTTCAATTATTTATTCAAAATAAATGCAACAAGTTGATTGATTTTGTTATTGTTTTGATACTATTTCTGACATTACAAGCCAAACAGGTAGACCCCTATACTTGCAATTTTTTCAAAGTTGACCTACCTTCTCTTTATTGTACCATGCTTCTACCCAGCGAATAAAAATAAACTATTGGAAACGTTTGCAAACGAAACGAAACAGACCCGTTATTAACATAACGGGACTTGTTTCTTATTTTGTACTGTTTGCGTAGATGAGCGGAAACAAAAATAAAACTGAAATGTACTCGGCTGGATGACGCAACATTGGAAACGAAACAGTATAATACACATTGCAAACGTTTCCCTATATATTAACTCAATACAAATAATGTACATACTAATTTATTGGCCATCATACAATGTAAAAATGTACAAAAATCAATATTAAAAATAACAACTCCTAATGTACCAGTCATCATCTCGTACAGCAAATCTTTGCAAACGTTTCCCGGCGATTCGTTTGTAAACGATACAGCTCGGCAACTCACAGCGGCTGTGAGTTCTGGAAGAGAGCAATTGTATTATTATTTACACCCTTTAGTCATGATTTATAATATATTTTTGTATTTGCCTATTTTACAATTCAATTCATTCCCAGCTATGAATTTTCTGTAATTTACCTTGTCAAACTTCACTTCCTAAAAAACAGTACCAATCTCTGGTTTTGTGTATATACGATGGATTTTTGAATATAGATTTTGACAAACAGATGTTGACCCTTGACAACGTAGTTTAAAAAAGTGTGAGTAAATGATTGCATGACTTTACCTTCTTAGTTCTATCACAATTCAATTGAAGAGAGACACATACTAGTACCTGCAAGAATCTACTATTATTGCAATTTTCTTCGTTATCATAAAGGGAACATCGGTTATCGTTGTAAAAACTTTACATTCTTGCAGTTTTGGAACAGACCAAAAATTTGTTGGTCGATGCACAAATTATTGACTAAATATGAATGAAAATTGTTATATAAAAAATAAAATAAATCTTTGGGGAAAAACAATAATTTCGTCTATTATTAGTTGTGTTCCAGTACTATTTTAGTAGTAAAACTAGCAGAAGAGAGAACAGTTCGAAATGTCATTCTCATTTAGGTTTGCTCAAAAAATAAGGGAACGGAAAATTAGCAGAAATGCGATAAAATGTCAAAATTCCAAAAGTAAACAGCCTAAATCGGACTGGTGAAACCTTACTGAAAAGAGCGCCAACATTTAAAAAATGAGTATTGAAGACGATAAGTTAAAATTAATAATTTATAATAATAATTAATAATCTGATTCCTCATTCAGCCAGTCCTCTTCACTGCTGGAATCATCCAAAAGTGAATACATCAGTTGCTCCATATTTTCTCTTTTTGTTTTTTGCACGACAAATATTAGTTTTTCCTTTAGTTTTCAAGTTGATCATTTTCTTTATTGAAATGTATCAATACATTTTTCAACCTTGTTAGCCCTGCCAATTAAATAGTTGTGTTCCAGAACCTGCAAATTAGTACTAATTAGCACTAATTCTGCTACAACGCGTTCCCGTACTCCAAAAACTAGCAAAACTTGCAGCTCTCTCGAGAAAAAAATGGCGCTGAGTGGTGCACATTTCTGCTTGTTTTAGCTACATGAATTTGGCCGAGCAGAAATGTGCATATTGTAAATTTGACATTTAATTGGCAGGGCTAACAAGGTTGAAAAATGTATTGATACATTTCAATAAAGAAAATGATCAACTTGAAAACTAAAGGAAAAACTAATATTTGTCGTGCAAAAAACAAAAAGAGAAAATATGGAGCAACTGATGTATTCACTTTTGGATGATTCCAGCAGTGAAGAGGACTGGCTGAATGAGGAATCAGATTATTAATTATTATTATAAATTATTAATTTTAACCTATCGTCTTCAATACTCATTTTTTAAATGTTGGCGCTCTTTTCAGTAAGGTTTCACCAGTCCGATTTAGATTGTTTACTTTTGGAATTTTGAATTTTGACATTTTATCGCATTTCTGCTAATTTTCCGTTCCCTTATTTTTTGAGCAAACCTAAATGAGAATGACATTTCGAACTGTTCTCTCTTCTGCTAGTTTTACTACTAAAAAAGTACTGGAACACAACTAATGTCAAATTTACAATATGCACATTTCTGCTCGGCCAAATTCATGTAGCTAAAACAAGCAGAAATGTGCACCACTCAGCGCCATTTTTTTCTCGAGAGAGCTGCAAGTTTTGCTAGTTTTTGGAGTACGGGAACGCGTTGTAGCAGAATTAGTGCTATTTAGTACTAATTTGCAGGTTCTGGAACACAACTATTATTAATTAGCTTCATTTACTTTCGTTCAAATTCCAATAAAAATCAACATTTTTTTTTTTTTTTGAAAAATGAATTTTGTTACTATGAATTACGAATCGTGTCGTATGAACGTATTCGTGTGTATTCGTGTATCTTATTTTGAGAGCCATGGTAGAAGATACCTGTATTCTTGGCATCGATACATCTGCTGGGACAATAAACTGTCAAACCAATTTTGGAATTGACGTTTTTGAATGAAAAATTATTCAAATTTGTCAAAGTTGTTAAATAATGCATGTCATAACAACCTCCGATTGGCGTCGTATAAAAAAACATATACAAATCTTCTTATTTTTGAAGAAACATTGACATATCAATGCTCCTAAGCTTTGATGCATCTACCTGTATTCTTCTACCATGTTTGAGAGCGAACAACGTGACTGAAATTGCAATGAGAACATAGCATAAGTCGAACAGTCGACTATGAGTACTCGGTTTTCGCCCAAGTCCATAGTCGAGTTCGGCAAACTATAGTAGCAACTAGTTCCGCGCTATTTAGTGAAGATGTTCAATTTTGTCTCATTCGTAAACAACAGAGTACCCCGAGTTTTTGCTTTCGTTTATTTTTTTATCGGGTATTCCTTTGTGGCCTTCACATTCGTTTCGTTGGGACGTTTTTCATTTTTGTTTCCAACGCTCTCATAATTCGCTCTTCATTGTTGACAGTTAATCATGGGAGGAGGTGATTTGGTAGGTTCTCTTGGAGTGTAACTCTATTAAATAATTAGTTCTATCCCTATTTTGTAGAATTCCAAAAAGTCATGGCACCCACACACATTAAAGAATCAGGAACAGGTATGGAAAGCGGAACAAGCGAAAGCCCTGGAAGAGAAGAAACTAAACGATTTGAGAAAAGAAATACAACAGGAACGTGAAATGGAAGACTTAAAAAGAGCTGGCCGGGAAAGTGGTGTATTATCAGGTAGACACGAAGCAGACAAAAAATTGGACTGGATGTACAAAAGTAAATTCATAATTCATATTTTGTGATTTATGTATATTTTGCTAAGAATGCATTCTCTTTAGGCACCCACGAGCTTGTCAATAGAGAAGAATACCTTCTGGGTCGTAAGATTGATAAGTCATTTGAGGTACTTCAAGCGGAGGAACAGCAAAAGGAGAAAAACAATCTTGTGGGTGTAAAGCAACCATTGAACCATGTGGAACATGAGTGTGTTCCCTTCTCTATTAGAGCTTACAAAAATGTCCAAAGCACCGAACAAGTTGATCTACAGCGCAAATTCATGGAAGATCCATTGATGTTGATCAAACAACGCGAAATGGAAACTAGAAGGAAAATACTAGAGAACCCTGTCAAATTGAAAGAGTTGCACAAAATCTTAAAAACTGATGAAAAATTAAGGAAAGAGGCAAAAAAGTCCAAAAAATCTAAGAAGAGTAAAAAGTCCAAAAAGAAGCACAAGAAAAGAAGTAAATCTTCAAGTAGTTCTAGTTCGTCGGACAATGAGTCAAATGGCGACAGTGACTCTGACATTGATAGCAAATTAGCTAAAAAGCTTAAAGTTGGTTTACTCGATGGAAAAGATTTTCTTGAGAAAGGAATGAATTTAGATAAAATTTTGGATTCAAAATATGAGAAAATTTCTCAAGAATTAGATAAAGCAGTCAAATCAAAGAAGAAGAAAAAGCGGAAAGAGAGTAGTAGTAGTGATGACGACGATAGTTTAAAATATGAAGGGAATAAAAAACGGAATCATAAGCACAATACAGAATATCACAATCGTAAGAATAACAGGCACGAGTCAAGTGAAGATCGTCATCGTTCACCAATTAATACATCAAATAAAAATCGATATTTCAATAAAGGCCGATCCCGTTCAAGATCAGTTGAAAAGTTCTATAGAAGATCTAGGTCCACATCGAGAAATCGCAATTCAAAAAAGGTTAGCAGAAGAAGTAGATCTAATTCTGTACACAATACAAATCGCAACAGAAATAAAAGAGAATATAGATCAACATCACCACGTAGTAAACGTAGAGATAGAACCCCCACTCTTAATAAACGAACCCACAGGTCTCGTTCGCGCTCAAATGACAAATCAAACCGTAGTAGAGCTCACAAAGATCGTTCGCGATCTAGGTCACCCAGAAACAATAAGGATTCCCGTTTGACGAATAGATCGCGGAAATCCCCACGTCGCTCAAGGTCTACTTCCCCCAAAATGTACAGAAAAATATCCCCCGAGCCATCATCCGCTGCTTCTAACAACCAACGCCCCTCTGGACGTTTGACAGAGAAAGAAAAACAAGAACGATTAAGAGAAATGATGGTGAATGCAGAATGGCGCGAAGAGGAAAGAACACATGCCGTTCGAAAACATCGAGAAGACTATGCTCGCGAAGAAGAGCAGAACAAGAGCCGGGAATTCGATAAAGATTTCCTCAACAAGGAAGTTAAAAAAGCTATCGCTAATCAGACATCTGTAGGTTCTCGTTTGAGGGCCAACTTGAACAACATTCAGCGAACGTCTTCGTCTATGAACGATAACTTCATCAAGAAATAAACTCTAGTCTTTAATAAAAATGACGATCCCAGAGACAATATTATTGTATACAGATGTGTGTATGTTTTTCTTTTTTCTGTATATTTAAACATTCAATCAACAACTAGTAATGTATGTTTCATATATTAGCTTATATGTATATATACGTGGGATTCAGCGATGTCACGACAATCGGGGCAATATGCCGCCAACCACAACGTATTGTATTTCCATTTTCATATGTGCTCAACTATGCGCTTTTTTCTACTTTCGATCAATTGTATAAACCAAATTGATGGGTTTAAGCATTACTCAAAGCAGCAACACCTGGCAATGTCTTGCCCTCCAACAACTCCAATGATGCACCACCGCCAGTAGAAACATGTGAAACTTGAGATTCGGTGTTCCACTTAGCGCAGCAAGAGGCAGTATCACCACCACCAATGATTGATACACATCCATTCTTAGTGGCAGCCACAACAGCATCCATTACAGCTTTTGTGCCGTTTGCGAAATTGGGGAATTCAAAGACGCCTGGGGGACCGTTCCATACAATGATCTTGGCTCTGGCAATTGGTTCAGCAAAGGCAGCTCTTGTTTTAGGTCCAACATCCAAACCCATGTGTCCATCGGGAATGCCACTTTCAACGGTGGCCTCGCTAACGGCAGCATCTTCAGCGAATTTATCGCCACACACAAAATCTACTGGCAAATGAAGTTGCACATTGTTCTTCTTTGCTTTATCAACCAGGTTTTGTACAATTTTAGATCCCTCCTCGTCGAACAATGAGGAACCAATTTTCATATTGTTTAATACTTTCAAGAAGGTAAATGCCATACCGCCACCGATAATCATTTCATTGACTTTATCCAACAAATTTTCAATCAGTTGAATTTTGTCGGCAACCTTGGCACCGCCAAGAATGGCCAAGAAAGGACGAGGTGGATTGTCCAAGGCTTGTGAGAAGTATTTCAACTCCTTATTCAGCAATAGACCGGCGGCACGTTTTTCGAAACCTTCGCCCATCATAGAGCTGTGGGCGCGATGGGCAGTGCCGAATGCATCATTAACATAGACGTCACCGAGCTTGGCCAAACTTTCACGGAAAGCCTTAACTTTAGCTGGATCAGCTTTAACCTTGGCGCCGGTGGCATCTACACCCTTGCCTTCCTCTTCCACATAGAAACGTACATTCTCCAACAGGATAACGCTACCCTCTGGAGGATTTTTGCACTTTTCCTCAACTTCAGGTCCCACACAGTCATTAAGGAATGTAACATCCTTGCCGAGCAACTTCTTCAATTCCTCGGCAACGGGTGCCATGGTATATTTTGGGTTCTTGTTTCCATCAGGACGTCCCAAATGAGACATCATAATAACAGCTTTAGCATTTTTAGAGAATGCATATTTCACACTGTCCAAGGCAGCGACGATACGTTGATTGCTGGTGATCTTACCTTCCTTAATAGGGACATTAAAGTCCACTCTGAAAAAATACATATTTTTGCATTATTCTATTCAATAATTGTAAGTAATTTAGCACTACCTCATCAAAACCCTTTTACCAGCCAAGTCCAAATTTTCAATACTCAATTTGTTCAAAGCCATTTTAAATAGTCTATGTAATATCCGAGAAGCGATTGGAAATGATTGATTACGACTTCGTTGGATACAAAACAGGACCTGACTACCCCCAAAAGTGCAAAAATCAACGGCTGAATGTCAAGTGAAGGTCAATATACGGTTTTCGTTGTATTTAAAATAAGGGGTATTCACATCCAATGACATGTCAAAAGAAACATCGACTTATTGTACAACGATCGGTATAATCAAAATAAGGCATGACTCCCTTAGCCCTATTCACACGCGTAAAATTTGTAAAAATAAAAACTATGTTTTTGGGAGAGGGAGACGAAGAATATGTGACATTTAAGTTAACTATTTTTCCCCAAAACTCGAATTTCTGTTCCGTAAACTTTTCCCTCCTGTGGACGGAACCAAGGTATAATTATTACAGCAACTGATTTGACTCTATAGCAATACTATTGTCAAATTCTATATGACGTTTTGTGATTTAATTTTATTTCTTATACAATCGGTATACACTTTTTTAATATAAAATTTTACTGTAGGGCAATGTGAACATATTTGGTGAAAATTTGCCTAATTATAGAAATTTCGCTGGTATACTTAAAAAGGCCAACGGCAGTGGTGAGGAAACTTTTTTTGTGGTTAAGGAACAGTGACACCGCATTAGGTAACATTGAAGTATATTTCATGTTTATAAAAAATGCAAAATGTTGAATACTTTATTATATACAGGGTTAGATGAAAAAACTGCAACCAACTTCAGACTGCTGTCATTTATAAACCACTCGTCCGACAGCTGTTAAAATTATTCGAGTGACAGCTCATTATATTGTTTACAAGCCTACAAAAGGACGTTGGTGAGAATTTTCGAGAAAAAAGTAATTCGTGATGGAATTCAAGCGTGATAGTGTGATTTCTTTATTTTTGGCTGGAAAACCACAAGTGGCTATCGTTAGAGTGGCTATCGTGAATAAATCTTTTGTGCCTCGTACTATCGCTCGTTACCGTGATACTGGTAGCGTAGCCCGACGTCAAGGAAGTGGACGGAAGAAAACAGCTAAATTAGCTGAAAAGGTTCGAAAAGTAAAGAATCGACTTAATCCAAACCCGCGTCGCAGTGGCCGAAAATGGTTGATTTTCTCCGATGAGAAAACATTCGTTGTTCAGCAGTTTGCAAAATGATCGTGTTTACTTGCCAAAGAGGTTAGCCGAAAATGTGTACTTTCGGTTGGCCATCAGAACTCAAGCGCCGGCCATGGAGACAGTGTGGGCCGCCATGATAGCCGATGGTCGCTCTCCGTTCGTATTAATCGACCGTGGCATCAGAATAAAAGCCGAATATTATCGGAAATATTCTGGAGGGTGTATTAAAGCCTTGGGCTCGCAAACATTTTGAAGGCAGACGTTGGACATTCCAAAAGGACTCAGCACCAACGTACTCAGCACGGTTACAAAATGAGGTTCCTCGCTTCATTTCCAGTGCATAATGGTCTCAAATATCTCCGGATTCCAAATCCTTGGACTATTATGTCTGGAGTATTTTGGAAAGCAAGGTTGCCACTAAAAAATACCAAAGTGTCGATCACCTCAAGCAAGCGTTTCACCGGTAAAGGGCCAAAATACCGCAGAGCAACATTCGGGCAGCGTGTCACGGTTCCATTGGCCGTTTGAATGCTATAATTCGTGCCAAAGGTAACCAATTCGAACAAATCTAAATTTATTCTAAAATTTTATGCTATTTTTTGCTTTCATTCAATAAAATTTAAAAGAAAAATGTAAAAATTATGTCGTTTTATTTTGTTGCAGTTTTTTATCTCACCCTGTATATGCATTTTGATTTCAATTTGGATGGGATGTTGATTTTTCCACGATTTTCTGGAGATTACTTGAAGTTTTGAGATATTTGGACCCACAGCTAACAACTTTACATTCAGGGGAATGACATGAAAGCATTAAATTTAATTATTTTAAGAACTATTTTTCTGCATTCCAATTACAATGAACAAGGATATTTGATATTAATCTGTTAGAATTCTGTCTGTCCCGTTGGGTCAAACCAAAAATTATATGTATACCTCCATCTTTCTCAAGTTTTTACCCAAAATATTCATACGATCTACTTTAGATTTTAAGCCAATAATGGGGCAAACGGTTCAAGATGTTTTCTTGTTGAGACCTCTTTATTCGAAGACTTGTAAGTAATTGTCCCTATCCATCATTATCTCTACGATTTTTTTAAACTTTAACTATTTAATTCACTTAGATCTACAACTAAGTGTAGATAATTTCGGTGACCGTTGCCATTTAAGTTGAGAACACATAAAGGTGAAAATACATAAAACGCCTTTTTCACTGGCTGAAGTCATCGGCTGAATTACAATTTTTTTCTAAGTGTACCCGACTTCTGCCTATTTTGTGCATGTATTTATTGTTTTGTAAAAGAAAAACAAAATTTTTTTCGCCAGTTTTGCCATGGTTTTGAAAGATCAAACTGTTTAGATCATATTTTTGAAAGAAAATCAAGAGATTTAATTAATTTTTTCGCAGATTTTCCATTGAGATAGCTCCATAAATTCACTATGGGGTTTATGTCTGAAGCTGGTGTATCCATCACGTTGGGACAATCATATAACAGCCATGAGCGCAATTTATAAGCCTTGTGTTTCGGATCATTGTCTTGTGCTTCATTTGCCTTTCACCATACATAAGATCTGTCTAATGAACCAACACATTTACACATTTAATAAATCAACAAACATTTGTGTTAATACAAAAGAGAAAAAATGAGAAAATACACAACATAAAAGAAAATATTTATTAAAAAAAAAAAAAAAGGTTGATTTTACTCTCGTCCGTGAACAGCACATTCTTCCAAATTGGAAAATCTTTTGATATGTGCTTATAGGCTAACCGCAATCTTACGTCTTGATTTCTCTTGCTGATTAGTGGTTTATGTCTGGCTCTTCTTCCATTGTAATTCGACTTATGCAATATATTTCTTAGTGTTTTCCTAAAACCTTTTCAGCAATTTTTGCGAGGCTCTATGCATCCATCTGTTAAGAACCGTTTTATGATGTACTTAACTGTAGATCGGCTTCTATTAACAATCTCAGATATCTCACTTAGCGATTTATGGTATTTGTAATGTTTAATCACTAAATTTCTCACTTCAACAGTGGTTTGTCCTCGTTGTCTTCCCATTTTTTTAATATTTACGCCAGTAAATTACAAAACCAGTGGAAATTTGTAGGACTTTCCCAAATACATTTTCCAACAATCGCGTAAAGTTGGACGCAGTTCGAAACAGACTTGCCTTATAAATGTAAGCTATACGAGTTTAGCTTTTGCATAGAAATTTGGTGAGTTTTAGAATAATTGTCATTATTTTGTTAAATAAATAAAAACATTAAACTTTTGTTCTACGGCTAGTTCTAGTACCCTATACACTAATAAAATATATAGGTTTCTTCTGGAAGTGAATTTCATAACATTCATATATTGCATGAAAAAAATTGTTTGCTACTGTACCTTGTCTTCATTGTACTATTCATGCATGTGCGAAAAACAATTTATTTTCTTTTTGTTGAATATAGAAATGAATAATACAAGTGATGTGAATGTTTGTGATTGGATAATATTACTTTTTATATATTTTTAAATCTATAAGTTTTAAACAAGGTGAATATTTGATAGATTTTAACATATGGACCAGGTGTATTTGGGTAATATGGACGTACTAAAAATCGTGGGGAAGTTGTATTGTAGTATTTAGGCGCTACGTCGAACTTTAGGCAAGGATGTGATTTGGCAAATGAGATTATCTCTTCAATTTTGCCATGAATACGCACTTAAATATCCCATTTGTATCCATGTTATTAAAAATTGTTGAAGTATACTTCCTTTGTACGCCTTATGTTGAGTTTAGGGGCTATTTTCGGATTGGCCTGAAATAATTTCTACAGGTAGGCATTTTTAACCTAATTTTCAAGTTCGGGTCGGGTAAAATTTAGAAGGTAAAGTCATTTCAAACAAGCATACCCATCTCTGTATTTTACTTTGTCAAATTTCACTACGTAAAAAGTAGGTTTTCATCTCTGCTTTCTGTATATTTATATACATATTTTGACAGTGAGATGTTGTCGAATGATAATTTTGAAAGAATTGTGAACATAAGATTGCATGTCTTTACCTTCTTGATTTTAACATGAGGAGTTGTATCAAAATTATTGATTGTTTGGACCCTTAAGTCGAAAAAGCTCCCATTTTGGGAGTCCACAAAATATATGCCAAATCATAGTTGAGACTACAACCTTTCCAAAGTGCTACAATATGTGTTATTATCTTCATTGGATCCAAAACGTTTACTTCGCTCCGCTGGTGTTGGAGATACCCAGAGGAGAACAACTTAAGCCCCGCCAGAAGGGGGGGGGGCCTACCTAAAACTGTATCAAATGTAGAAAAATGTACTGTACCCATATCTCTGGATACAAGAAAGTAATAACCTTTATTAACTAAACTAGAGTTGTTCCGAAATTTCAAAGTGTAACATTTTTAACATTAGCAAAACTTTAACAAAGCTTTCTTTTTTGGCAATTTAGAAGGTATAAAAGATATTAGCATGGTGGGGTAATTTAATATGTGTACACTATATTGCATTTTTTGTGTTCGTAATCGAACGGCGTTATTTGAATTTCATGCTATTAATACTCGTATTCCACTTTCACCATACTCCATCTCCTCATTCTCACTTATTTTAAACAATTGTCTCGTCTCATTCGTAAACAAACAAGAGTTTTTAGCCATTATGCATCACACTTATTCGTAAACAAATAAACTTTTTGGTCATTTTGTTTTCTACTAATTTTCATCGCTTATTCTATTTTGTGTTCTTCATTTGATTGTGTGGAACGTTTTTAAATTTTTTCGGTTCATAAAACAAGATGGCTCTAGAGTGGAAAAGAGAGGTAATTATTTTTTCTCTCTTTCTTTGCGAATCCCTCCGTTTTTTGATCTCCAGAAACCTATTTAATCTTGAGTGGAAAGGAGAAAAATATCCCACGAAATTTATTTTTTGGATTGGCTGTCAAATCTTGTCGTCCAGGAGGAACTCATCCGGTAAGTAGCGACTTCCACGCCGACAATTTCAAGATATCTTTGCATCCAAGAACAAGCCAAGTTCGCTCCGCAACCTGACACACAATTTTTTCTTCGATAAAGAAAAGGTGCGAGACCTAGTACCGAAAAAATATTTTTGGGTTTGTTGCCAAATATTGGCGTCCAGGAAGAATTCATCCAGTGAGTAGTAACTTCCACGACGACAATTTCCACATTTGTTGGATACTAGAACAAACCAATTTCTACTGTTGGAACGCCGCGAAGCGATCCAGGTTCCAGGTAGGCCATTACTTTCTACCTCCTGCGACAAATTTTATTGTTATTTTTGTTATTTATCATTACCAGGAAGAATTGCCAGTATTTTCATACTCCTTACCCCGTGAGAATTATGAAACTTAGTTTGTGGACAAATGTTTTCAATAGAGAAGATATATGAGCAAGCATCCTATTGGACGAAGTTTGTATGGACGAGTTAAGCGGAATACTGCGTAAAACTAGTTTTAATAATCGATAAGTGTTTTTAAGAAACGCTACCCGAGTGTAATAAATGCATTTTTCTATTGAAACAATAAAATGCATCCTGTCGCTGTTCACAATCACAGCGGCCTTGGTGTCCGCCGCGGGCGGACCACAGCAACAGCAAATACATTACCATGCCCCCTGTGACAGAAGTAGAAAAGTACTGACAATGGAATACGGCGAAATTAGCGATGGACCGGCAGGATTTAACTACACACAGGATTCACACTGCGAATGGCTTATCAAGGCTCGCAACGATAGCCAATTTATAACGCTCACTTTTCATACAATGGGTACAGAGTGTTCATACGATTACATATACGTTTATGATGGCGACTCCTTTAATTCAACTTTATTGGGAAGTTTTAGTGGTCGTACCCAACCTCAACGGCTGGTAGCCCACAGTGGAAGTGTATGTATTAGAATAAATTAAAATCCGAATTTCAATAGTTGTAATTGAATCGAATTATTTGTTCCAGATGCTGATATTGATGTACAGTGATACGAATTATGTTCTGGATGGATTTCGGGCTTCTTACTACATATCGAATTGCTTGAATAATTGCCATAGTCATGGAAAGTGTGTGGGCCATCAGTGTGTTTGCCATGGTGAATGGGTTGGTCCGGATTGTGAAGACGAAATATGTCCAAATAAATGCGGTGAGGCAGAGGGAAGGGGAAAATGCATAAAAGGAGTATGTCATTGTGAAAATGTAAGTATTTGAATTAATTGATATAGAGAAATTAATGTACTCAATATAGAGTTTATGCATGCCGTTTTTATAACATTCTTCCTTGCTTAACCTACGGAAGGTCTCTATTATTCCAGGAATGAAGTCTGTTTCTTTAATAAATTATTGTGCCGGGCATTAAATATTAGGAAAAACTCTAGTTTATTAAAAACTTTCAGATAAGCTTCTTAATGATAATGTTGAAAAAATCCAAGAGTTTTTATTAAAATAGAGATAAGCCAAATACCTTTCATTTAAGAAGTATCATATATCACTGGAACGACAATATAGTATACACATGCTGAATTGACTTAATTACAATAATTTCTTTGTTGACATACGTTTGTCCTGGGGATCAATTAAAATTGTCTAGTACACAAAGTTGTTGTAGTGTAGTACGCAAACCAACTGTAGAATAAGCTAATGTGATTGTTATTGGTCCTACCCCTTATTTGGATTAAAATTAAACAAATTCGTATCTTCTCAATTAGGGTTACAGTGGGCGTTTATGCGATCTACATGAAAATCCACCCGGTGGAAATTGGAGTTGGTTATCAACAGATGCTGAAGGAATGACCGCTCGAGCTGCACACACAGCTGTTTACATTGAAGAGGAAGATTCATTGTATGTGTTTGGTGGATACGATTTAAATAATGTTATAAGTACACTGCAGGTAAGAAATTATAGTTTCTTTCATCTGATCAAAATAATCAAAAACTTAACTTAATCGTTTTTTCAGATTTATCGCTTTCAAACTAGCCAATGGGTTGATGAATGGGGAATAACATTGCAGAATCGTCGACATTATTATCATCAACCAAAAATTGATCATACACTTCTTAAGGCTGTGCTGCAACATAGAAATGAGGATGAAGCTAAACTCTGGGGACTTAATAGTGACATTTCGTTCTTTCGGAACATTCTTTACACATTGGCTGAAACTAATCCAACCAAGGATATGCATACAAGAAGAATGGTGCGAAGTTCTCCACTTCTAACAACCCTCACCGTTAACTCAACCGATGAAGAATTAACGGAATATCTGGAGGATATTTTAGAAGAAGTTACCGATCATAAACCTCATGGCCGTTACGGGCATGCAGCTGCAACAGTTCCGGGTGGATTTGTTATATTTGGTGGAAAGCAAGCAAACGGAAGCTTTTTCAATGACTTATGGTTCTATAATCGCAGCGAAAGTGGCGGAAAATGGAAGCAATTGGCAATGCAGTCGAAAGTAAAAGTGCCGCCAATGGCAAGGCATACCCTAACATATGCCGGTGACTATTTATATATTTTTGGTGGGAGTTTGGAAACGGGCGAGTTTTCCTCAGAGTAAGTCAAACACAATGTCGAGATTTGAAAATAATAATACCTATATATTTTTTAGCATTTATCGTATACGTTGGCCCATCACCAAACCTGGAAGCGATGAAGAGTCGGAGTGGGAATTTATACATCCTCGAGGTGGCAAAAAGCTAGATGTTCGCCTAGCCGCTCATACCACGGTGTACTACAAACCAACAAATTCTTTAATAGTATTTGGTGGAATTATGACCAGTCTTGCTCGATTTTCAAAACTATCAGATCGCATATTTGCCTTTCAATTGGATCAGTTTCATTGGACTGAAATATTATATCCACGTACAGCACTCAGAGATACAAATATACCGCGTGAACGTGCCTTTCATACGGCAACGGTGAGTGGCAATTACATGATTGTGTTCGGTGGTTACACGCATCGGCACAATAAGGACGAAATATGCTACGACAATCAAATGTACTGGTATCATTTGTCCTGCCACATATGGATTAATCAAGATGTACCGGCAGAGGATAATATCTATCCGAAAAAACAAGGAGTTTTTGCCCATGCAGCTGCTCTGCGGAAGAATAACACATTACTTATAGTTGGTGGATATCATGGGAATGTAAATGCAGACCTATTTGCTTATGAACTTCCTCAGGTGCTGAGAGCCAACGGTATATTTGGTCATAATCCGGAAATGGCATGCCGTTATCACACCTCTCATGCAGCATGTCTTTCAAATCCCGAATGCGGCTGGTGTTCTGCAGACAGCAGTTGTTATGGCCGTACCATTGGCGCCAATTGTACTAGCAACTTACAAACTTCAAGATGTCCTGGAATATGTCCGTCGCTGGGCGACTGTCACTCATGTTTAGTTCACGGCACGCAGTGGTCTAGGCCAGTACCTAATAGCGAAAATTACCTATCGGTCGCCAGTAAATTGGGATTAAATGAATGTTCTTGGTGCGTGCAAAATGCAAAATGTCATCATCGTGATGATAACTATGGTATTTGTGGAGAGGATACTCCCTCCCATAGTCCAGGCTGGTGGGGTGAACAAGGAACAGAAATTCGGCACCCCTCTCAGTGTACGAAAAATGATCGAAGACCCGGCTTAACATACATCAAATATCATTATCCGGTAAACCTGACAATGCCTGACTTTGTAGCTATAGTAAATGCCACAATGGTCGACTTCTCATCGCCCACTCCTACAACACAGTATGAACAGAAAATGGAAGGTGAAATGTTGGCTCGTCTCTTGGGATTTGTGCGGCCACAAAAACAATGGGAGGAGGAACCTACGGAGATACAAGTTTGTACAAGTTATTCCAATGCTGTGCTGAAAGCGGGTTTGGGTCGCGATTTGAGCTCTTTGAAGGAATTGACCAAACAAGCTTCCAATCAGTCGTATTGTAGCAACGTTGAAATTCCGAGTACGGAGCAGCCGTTCCTAATAGATTTTCAGGCACGTCGTCGCATCGGTCTAAACAACATCTATAACACGTATCAGAAAACGAAAATGGAATTGCAACACATTTACCATGGCAACTTGAATGCCTTCACTTTCGAATATTTGGAGCCATACTATTCGGGAGAGGATTGCAATCAATATAAAAACTGCTTACAGTGTTTAACTGACAATGCATGTGCCTGGTGCTCTCTTAAATCGCAATGTATGCCCAAGACAGTCAATGAAACTGAGGCGTGCAGTCTTACCAAAGTAGCCGAAAACAATTCCTCCTATGTGCTGTGGGAATATCTGGTGAATCAGCCCAGTCATTGTGCCAATTGTTCAAATTATGTTTCTTGTGAAGAGTGTGTAGACTCGCGTTTATGTGAATGGTGGGCTGAGGAGGCACGTTGTGCCCGTTTAGGAAAATCGGAGAATAGTGTACGAACGGTTAACCAATGTCCCGTTCAGTGTAGACTACGAACCAATTGTCAAGACTGTTTGAATGAGAGGGGTCGTTGTGTGTGGTGTGAAGCTAAGTCGGCATGCTTCAGTTTTGCTGTCTATACGAGTGAGTACCAATTCGGAATGTGTCGAGAGTGGCTAGACCAGTCAGTGAGTCCCCACCAAATTGAAGGAGATAATAGTGGCATGCTGACTTCAAGGTCATCCGCTTTGATTCCCATACACCATCAGGCTGTACCAAAGCAACAACAGTGCAAATCTTGTGCTCAATATCGCAACTGTACCACTTGTCTGAAAACACTGAGTTGTGGATGGTGTTTCGATCGTGACAATCCCATCGAAGGCAAATGCATGCAAGGCGACTTTAGCAGACCCTTTGGTAATTGCTCCTTGGCATTGAACAGTTCCTATATACATGATGCCGAATGGGCCTATGCTCAATGCCCGGACGTGGATGAGTGCGGACTGGGTTTGCATGACTGCCACAAGGAGGCTAAATGTACAAATACGCATGGATCGTATAGGTGTCACTGTAGGAGAGGTTTCGTCGGAGACGGCAGACAGTCGTGCACCAGAACCTGTTACGAGACCTGTGTACATGGCTATTGCTCTGATGCTCCAGATTATGTTTGTCGCTGTGAATTGGGCTGGACTGGGGCGGATTGTTCCATAAACTGTGGCTGTCACAATCACTCGACCTGTAATGAACGTGTCGGCAAATGTGACTCCTGTCAAGCGTGGACAGAGGGTGAGCGATGCGAGCGTTGCCGTCAAGGCAGCTACGGAAATGCGACCTCTGCAGCCGGATGCACACCCTGTGAATGTAATGGTCATGGCAACCAGGACCTGGGCATTTGTAATGTCAATAACGGTGAATGCTATTGTAAGGACAATACAGAAGGCGTTAAATGTGACAAATGTTCTCCGGGTTTTTATGGAGACCCCAGAGATGGAGGACAGTGTTATTACCAGTGTGAATCGCGTGGAATGTTGCGAAATATGGGTCGAAGTGGCATTGGCTCTTACAAAGCCTATAAATCGCCTTGGGGTGCTAAGTTAGAGGTTAAAGAATGCTTGTGGATCTTGGCACCAAAGACACTTCACGCAGAAAAGTCGTTACTTCAAGTTGAGTTCGAGTGGAATTCTCTGGCCATGGATTGTGATGAAAATGCTGTTTATATTTATGATAGCTTGCCCGATCTGACTGGTGTGTCTCAGCAAAATCAACTAATTTCGGTGGTATGCAATCCGTACACTTCGTCCCACATCATCGAGGCGAGGTCGAGTCATGTTACAGTTTACTACAAACAAGGTGGTGGTCTTCGTAAACATTTTGGCTTTAATGCATTGTATACGGTAAAGAATTGTGTGGCCAATACCTGTCTACATCCACATATTTGTGACGAGCAACAGCGATGTGTCTGCCCAGCTGGGTATGTGGGTCCAAAGTGTGAAATTGAAATATGTCCTCGCAATTGTAATGCTAAGAGAATGCAGGGTTATTGTGACACAGATTACGGTCGTTGCATATGTAACTTCGGTTGGGGAGGGAAGGATTGTAGTACCAGCCTTAAACTGAATCAAATTACAGTAACAGAGCTATTCAATACCATGTTGCTTTCGGAATCCTATGAACATTTACGAAAAACAATTCCAAGATTTGGCCATACTGTGTGTGCCGATCGACGAGGTTCCCTATGGATGTTTGGAGGCTATTCGCCATCACATGGGCCGCTTAATGATTTCCGTCAATTCGACACCAAAAATGGCACCTGGATGCAAGTAACGGTAGAATCAACACCAGATGACAAAATGCCCTTGGGTAGATATTTCCATGCTGCGGAGATATATCTGAAGAGACAGACTATATTTATTTACGGAGGTATCACAACAATTGGATCAACAACATCTCCAAAACCGGAAATACTCTCTGATTTCTGGCAGTTTTCAATACAAAATCAACGTTGGTCCGAACTAGATTTATCGGGCCACCGTGTCAAGCCACCAGCGCTTGCTGGTCACACCCTAACCTATACGAGAAATAATGAGCGGGAATCGTTAATTTTGATCGGTGGCATGACACTAAACAAGTCGCGGCAATTGGAATTGTGGGAGTTCAATCTGGAGACATTCAGATGGGAACAACTTTTGGCGTTGGGCGTACGCATGCCAGTCCTCTATGGCCACACCACGGTTTATCATAGCGAGAAACATATTATGTATGTGTTTGGAGGCTACTCGACGGAGCCACAAAACAAACTGTACGCCTTGCATTTACAAAAGATGACATGGACTGAGTTGCCGCCTTTCAAGGAGCTTAATCGGCCCGAGTCGTTGTTACCCAGGGCTCGATACTTTCATTCAGCTGTCACCACAGACCAGTACATGATAGTGTACGGCGGACGCAATTTCCCCTACAATGCCAGCGATGTGCTCGTCGCCTATGTGTACAATTGCAATCAGTGGATTCGTTTGACGGAGGATGTGAATATTGTGGGCCAACTGCAGATATCCACATATGCCGAAGACATATCTATAGATCATGAAAGTAACACTATTTACGTGATCGGCGGATGGGACGGCAGTGCGGCGCAAAGTCACGTGACCAAGATAAGTTTACCCAATGATATTTGTCAATTATGGAGTGCTGGGAAATATTTATGTCGCCACTACATGGGCTGTAGTTTCTGTACTGTGTCGGCCAACTTTGTGACCTCTTCGTTTTGCTATTCCCATGACACACACAGTGGAGTGTGCAATAATGGAAACGGCACCCTGGTGTACAACAATGGTGCCGCCTGCGACGATGCGTGGATGTCAAGAAGAAACTGTTCCAGTTTTACCACCTGCTCAGCATGTTTAGCTTCGTGGCCGTCGCATGTGGAAACAACACCTGTCTGTCAGTGGTGTGATGAGTGTGGCATAAAGGGTAGGTGTGTCCCAGCCGGCGTTGATTGTGAACGTCGTACGTGGTGTTCGAAAGAAGTAAGTGTTGGCCTCTTAAATTTATGTCCACAGCCTCAGTGTCACACGCTGTATTGTGAAGCTTGTATTTTAAACGAGAATTGTGAGTGGGCCCAAAACGAATTGGGAACGATTGAATGTATCACAAAGGAATTGGTGGAACAAAATCAATACAAGATAATCGGCCAATGTCCATTGCCGTGTCACCACTATACCAATTGTTCCACGTGCTTAAGTAATGACGACAGCGAACAACCCAAAGACTGCAAATGGTCCACAATGTTGAATACGTGTCTTTCGCCGCAAACACAGCCATTGCTGTGTGCAGGCGGTGTATGTGGTTTGGTGCTGGAAGCCAATGAGACCGACCACTGTCCGGAGCCTTGTAATGTGTATACACAGTGTTCGACGTGTTTGGAACATGCCCACTGTGGCTGGTGTGCCAGAGATGGGTATAATGGCGATGGCATATGTACAGAAGGATCACTCGAAAACAAACAGGAATATCCTTCATCGTCCACGTGCGATCTAATCTATGCTCAACTTCGTAATGATTCAATGCTTAAACCAACCGATGTTGTCTCATGGAACTATGTCAAGTGTCCGGCGGAAAATGAATGTACAAATGATCACCACCATTGTCATCCGGAATCAGAAAAGTGTATAGACACCCCGCATGGTTATCATTGTGAATGTGGCGAAGGATATCGACCCGAAAATGACACCTGCATACCGGTCTGTAGCCAGGGCTGCGTCCGTGGTAATTGTGTGCGCCCGGATATGTGCGAATGTGATTTTGGTTATGTGGGTGCCAACTGCAGTATCCAATGTCTGTGCAATGGTCATTCAAACTGCAGGGGACCCAATTTACTGGACGACTGTATTGAATGTCATAACAACACCATGGGACCACAGTGTGAAAAATGTCAACCATTATTTGTAGGAGATCCGAGAGAGGGCAGAGCTTGTGTACCATGTCATGAATATTGCAACGGACATACCGATTCGTGTATAGCCCATGACTCGGAGCCAACTTATTTCAACATGACTCGAGAAGAACTGGAACGCAATCTGCCCGAGGGACCGCTAGGCAATGCAACATGCCTTCGATGTGCCAATAATACAGCCGGTGAACGCTGTGACACCTGCATTGTGGGATATTTTCGCGGTTCCGAAGACCATCGAAAAGAGTGTCGTCCATGTCAGTGTCATGGTCATGGCAATGTCTGTGATCCGGTAACGGGTGAAAAGTGCAATTGTGGTAACAATACCGAGAGTGATGCCACATGTACAGCGGGCGGGGGTAAAAATTCTGCACATCTCTGTTGGAGTGTTCAATGTTCGAAATGCCGAGATTCATATGCAGGAAATCCCATTGATGGACATCAGTGCTATAAACAGATTACCGTGGAATCAAGAATGTGTTTCGATGCCAAACCCATAGGTGAGTTAGTAGGTCGTACGCGTTAAAAATGTTTTCCAATACAAGTAGTTAGTAACCGAACACGAAATCAAAAGTATAAATTTTTATAAATTAAATGTTTATTTATTTTTTTATTTTCAGAGGAATGTAAAGCCAAACCAGCAGCATTAAAGCCTGGACAAACGGTGTTCTTTGTCATACAGCCACGTTTCATGAATGTCGATATACGGGTAATCATAGATGTTACACAGGGTGAACTGGATGTTTATATGTCACCCCAAGATGATTCATTTATCGTAGAAACGAATGAGACCAATGGTTATCATGAGATCTTTTTGGACAACCGTTACAATTGGGGTCCGAAAATTAAACGCTCACACCCCTTAAATATAGCACAACCGAAATACGACAATAGCACATCGTTTTCGAAACTGGTAATGAGCGATAAACGAAACAGTTATTACGTGCCGCATATTCAAGACTGCAAAAGTCACGGTGGCCATAGTTTTTATGTCAAGGATCAACATGCCAAGGATTTGAGCACACATGTCACATTAAATCATTGCAACACCCTCCTGAGATTATTTGGCCTAAAAAATCGTTTGGTATTAACATTGCCCCAACACGCTCATAATTTAAGCGCCACACGTTTTTTCATTGCTCTGCGAGCTAGTTCTGGACCAGAACCCAGCTATGGCTCTGTTGTGTTCCGTCAAGATCAATTACACATCGATTTGTTTGTCTTCTTTTCGGTGTTCTTTTCTTGTTTCTTTTTATTTTTGGCAGTTTGTGTAGTCATATGGAAGGTGAAGCAAACAGCTGACATCCGAAGAGCACGTCGCCAACATGTTGTAGAACTATTGCATTTAGCCAAACGTCCATTTGCGTATGTATTCCTGGCGGCAAATTCCTTTGATTTGGATAGCCCACATCCCACGACATCGTCTACGTCGGCAGCGGCGAATAATCGAGTTGTTCGCAGTGCTACCGGTGCTCGTTCTAAGCATCAACATCAAGCGGCCAGTGGTAATAATCTATTGCCCGAAGTGCTGTTAATAGCAATCGAGCCAACGGCCGATAATTTAGCAGCAGTTGGTACAGTGTTTGTAAGTTTGCCTGGTCGCTATAAGGCTCCGTTGAGCATGGCATTAGGTTCTACCCTAATATCATATCCACCACGTTTATATCAAGTAAACAATCGTCACTACACCCGGGCGCCTAGGGGAAATTCTGCACCAGTGGCAAATAGTGGTGGAGGTGGTGTTGTTGCTCCAGCACCTGTCCCACCAGTGGCTGCTGGTACAGCTCGACAAAATCGTCAAGGAGTCATTGCCGATGCGGATGCATTGCCTGTATATAATTTGAATTTGTAAAACGTTAAAAAGGATAAGACAGAAAAAAAAAACATCTACGTGCAACAACAATGGAATTTACAAAAGACAAATACTATAGAAAACAAAAAAACAACAACTTCCAGGAATACCACAAACCATGGCGTTCGACATTAGTCTAATCTCTAGTGAATTGATGATAATTTTCGTGCATATATATAGAAATGTAAGTATAGATTAAATATAAAAACCAGTTTTGTATATTATTTGTTTAGTGCTAGGATATATACAATATTAGGCAACTAACTATCTCTCTTTACAGCAAGTGTGTTTAAATGAAAATGTATTTTTTCTATTAGATAAGCAATTTATTTGAATAATAATGCAATTTCGTGTTGAAGCATAGGTTTTACACATTTTTTTGATGTGTATTTTTTAAATGATCAAATATTTCGATCAGTTCACTAATCTAATCTCATACCAAGCTGCTTTTGCAAATGCAATTTGATTTTTTCAAGGCAAATGCAATTTGATGGCAACAATGCATTGTAATTTTACAATAATTTATTTTCAATACTGATATTTTGTATGAAACAAATACGTTTTCAATGTCCTAATTTATTTTTTTTTGTATTTTATTTAACGTATAAGAAATGCATTGTAATGGTCTACCATCAAAGCATTTGTATTTCTATTTCGGTATTATCCAAATTGTATTTCATTCCTTTTTTCAAGGTTTTTTTTTCTATGTTAAGTATAGGCAACAAAAGTGCAATAATATTAACATACACTAAAGAGAGCATACACACAAATATATTACACAATATTCGAATTACTTTGTAGCAACTTGTGGCAATTACAGTTTCCAAATTAAACTTGCAAAAGAAACATTTGTTTCAAAATGAATGAGTTCAAAATTAGAAAATCATATTGTAGGTCGGATATAGGGGTATTTATCGAAATTACCACAGAATGGAAAATGACGGAACACCTTTTTGGGAAATTTTCAATTTAAAAATGTTATTTCAGTATAGCTTCGATATTCTTAGAAGATTTCAGTCGCAATTTACAAACGATTCAACTGAAATATGGATATTTTGATTTGTATAAATATTTTTTTCTAAATCCACGTTTATACGACATATAATGTACCTCTCAAACTTCGGGGAAATCTGGCAAAACATTTGCAACGGAGGTTCACTATTTGATGTAGCATCGATTTAACGAGTTATCTTCGTCTTCGGTATTTTAAGGATTTTAGTCACAATTTCTCCCTCCACCATACATAGTATGGAGGGTATAATAAGTTCGTCATTCCGTTTGTAACTCATCGAAATAATAATTTTAGGCCCAACAAAGTATATATAGCGTAATATACTAAGACGATTTACCCCTGCCGTCCGTCTGTCTGTCCGACAGTTGTAATCACGCTAGAGTCAAAACGAATAAAGATAGGAAGCTAAAACTTTGCACCGATCTGTCTTTTGTCTGCATGCAAGTTCGAAGATGAACTATATCGGTCCACGATATCGTATTGCCCTCATATAACGGTACCCCCGATATTCGGTATTTTGATGATTCTAGCCACATTGTTTAATGGAATTGTCCGAAATTCTACACAAGGAGCTCTCTGTTAGTACTTTACCTTCTGAAAGAGAATTTTCTATATAGGTCCACGATATCGTATAGCTCCCATACAATGGTGCCCCCGATATTCGGTATTTCGATGATTTTAGCGACATTTTTCAATGGAATAGTCTGAAAAACCACACAAGGAGTTTCCTCTGAGTACTTTATACCCTGGAAGAGAATTGTCTATATATGTCTGCATTTTAGTATAGCACCTATATAACGCTACCCCGAGACATTCGGTATTTCCAGCATTTTCGCGACATTATTCACCGGAATTGCGTCAAATTTCGTAATTGAAGTTCGTAAAGGGTACTACAACCTATGACGGAAAATTGTCTAGGCAGGTCCACGTCTTAGTACAGCCCCCATACAATGTTACCTCCCTTTATTCGGTATTTTAATGATATTAGCGACATTATTCTCCGGAATTGCGTCAAATATCGCATTTAAAGTTCGGTATCGTTACTACAACCTATGACAAAAAATTACTTATCCAGCACCACGTCTTCGTATAGCTCCCTATAAAGGTTTTCATTTCAGCGGTTTTCAAGTTCCTTCCGAAACTTATCCGCTTTTTCACTTGTTTATTCCCAATCTATAGCTTCTTTTTTAAAAATGGTTCAAGATTGGTTTTTGTTGTGATATAAGCCTAGCCTATGTGAGGTTAAAGGACGCGTGGTTGCGTTATGGTAACCGCTCCACTCGGAGACATGCCGGGCTAGCGTGTTCAGCCTAAGTTGGAATGAAAACAGATTATCTCCCACAAGCCTGTGAGAGTTGGAAAGTGGCAGAGCAAATCATCGATTGTCTCAATTTTTTCTTCATCTTGGCAGATCCTATGGTAATCATCGGTAATATCGTCGCTACTTCATTTACAGTGTAATATTCAGAAAGTATAGATGAGTATAATGAGTGTTTTTTTTAATAACTGCCATCCGTGAATATTCCACTACTGTTGCCTACAATCATGATTTTCTAATGCGTAATATATTTAATTTGGAAATTGCTTTTAATACTCTATAGTTGAAACTCAATAACGAATCAAAAACAGAATGAATATAATCTGTATTGGAAAGTCGAAAACAATCGAAAGCAAATTATCTACATAATGTAACGTCAATTCTGTAGTAACCCAAGAAAAAAAAACAAAAACTCAACAAAACTAAAGCCAATCAATACTTGCAAAACTACAACTTGTATTACTGAAAATACACAGAAATTCAAACAATAATCTATTCAGAAAATCTCCAATATTGATACCTACCAACTATATAATAATAAAATAACATTATCCTTATGTAGTGAGTATATAAAGTTTTACAAAAAAAGCGATAATCGAACAAATGATTTCATAAGAAGGAAAAAAAGGATAATTATAAAACAAACAAATTTTTGTACAATGTATGTACCATATACTATTATATTAGAACTAAATAATTTTTTAGTTAATATAAGAACTGAATCAAATGGAAAACAACACCTAATATGCTCAAAGTCGAATATAACATGTGTATGGGTGGAAATAACATTATTTTATTCTACGCAAACATATTCTAACAACAAAAAGGCATTTCACGACAATATAGTATAGTTATGCATGTATATTTTTGATTTCTCCCTCCTAATTCTTTTTTTTTTCTTTGTTTTAACTCAAAATTGTTGTTTTTAAGTGATTTAATCTTGTTTTTGTCGGTAATGTTAGTTTACTGTATGATTTTTAGTAGTTAACTTAAATCACGCAATGTATTATGTGATTTTACAAAAATTTTCCTGCTCACAAACTCACAGAATATAACAGTCACTATTCCATCCATCCTTAATGACGGATAGCTCATTAGTCGCGATATGTGTATTTATTTAGCTAACTAATTGAGGTCGATCAGCAGGTACACCTCCGTGCATTAGGTAATCATCTTCCAAAATCTGTACGTTATATGGTTCATGTTTAAGCGTATGCACAACCATATTCGATAAAACTAATTATCTTTCACATCGGCTGGATACCCTTTCGCCTTTAAACACGACCGTTCCTCAAAACTCATGCAGGTCCAAGCACCCACAATCTATGATTCCACACACTGCACAATTTACAATCAATGTACTTTCGTGCAATTTTGAACCCCTCATTAAATGGTGCTTTGTTTTGCCTTTCCATCCAGGATAACACCAATGACTGTGTCTCTGGGGCACACATCTTTATTGTCTGGAGCGAATAAATCCTTGCCCGTTTCGATGAGCCCAGAAGAGATTTTTTAAATATTCTTTACGAACATGCAAACATAATCCTGACATTAGCAAAATAATATAATTTAAAAAGTTTGAAGGCTGAGATTACCTGAGAATTGAATTTAAATGCACAGTGGAAGCATTATAACCTGCCACCCAATATCGAGGTTGCCTATCCATTTAGTGATCTAAGATAACTCTACACCGTCAATATCGGTCGTAAGCGTTCGTATCTATTCATAAAAGAAAGCCACCGATTAGGGCTCATATATTTGTCGCTTGAATTCCTTAAATACCTCCTTAGTTACGATGAGATCAGTAGGGGCTAAAACATTTTTCGTACCGACATAGGTAAAATATATAGCCCCCTACAGTAACAGTGAATAGATAGAAAATCCTAACGACATGTGTTTTTATTTCCCTCATTGTCTCTATAAAATTTGGAGAGCATACCCACAAAAACGGTGCAATTCTTCCCTAAAAGCCAACGTTTTTGTATTGTCAACTTACAGTGTTCTTACTTTTTATTCTAAGGTTCTAACCCATTTTATACTATATCCATTTCACTACTTATTTGTAGCTATTTGTAACTTTTGCTGTTCTTTAAAAACGAAATTAATTTACAAAAAATGCATTTACACAATCTTCATTTCACACTCTATAAACACCCAAATTAAGTATGTAAATTAAATTAGTCTTTAATTAAAATATTATAAAAAAAATTAAACATATCTATAACCGTATGCGGCTCTCTATTACCTATTATATTCACCTATTTTTGGTGTTGTATAACTATTTTCCCTCTTTTTTACACAACACTAAAACAGGAAAATGATATTAAATTGTTTATAATTTTTCGAATCTTTTTTATTATAGCTGTAATTTTTAAGAATCTCATTTACAAATCTGTCTGTCTTTAAGGTATTTGGTGTTTCGTCCTTATTTTTAGTATAATGTATATTTTTGTGTATATATAAATATTTTTTTTAAAGTTGTATATTTTGATATATTTTCTTCTTTTTTGTTAAAATAAATTGTTAAAAAATATTTTAAAAAGGTTGTGTTTTGTTTTTAAAGGGATTTTCCTTATAATTTTCGTAAACAATTGCCATTTAAATATAAATTTAATTAAAACAACAATAAACCTAATTAAGTAAATTGAATAAAATAAAATGATATCAATGTATAAAAAAAAACTGAGAAAGAAATAAAAGAAAATTCGAAAAAGCTACAACAATATCTTTGATAAGCGGCAGTCTGTGAAATTTGAAATTTATTAGAATTGTATTTAGTATCCCATTCTTTCCAAATAATTCTTTTAGCCCTAAAAAAAGACAAATTTAAAGGTAAGTATAAGGCAGGAATAATTCAGAGTCCATAGATAGAATACTAAATTTTTTCCTGATTAGTTTTCGAACGATTGCGAGAGAAGAGATATTAAGGGAAATATATATTTCTCCCTTCAGGCCTACAAGCTATGAATATTTCAACACCTGACTACCGAAGTCACGTATTAAAGACTAGCAAGTGCCAGCTACTTCGTCAGCGAAGAGTCCACCTTGAAGTTTTAGATTCGTTCCAACTGCTGTCCTACGCCTATGACAAAAAATTACCCAAGTGACGAGATTGTTAACTCAATAGAAGAGGAACCAAAAAATTAAGGTAAACTAAAATTCTTTTACAAAATTTTCTACATTTCGCATTTGTTTTGTTTTTCGAATTTTACTGTTCAAAAGTACTTCAAAGTCTCCATAAGATAAAAAAACTGCAACTGGCGTTTATTTTTTTTTAAAATTCTATTGAATGAAAGCAAAAAATGTCGGAAATAGCATAATATTTTATAATAAGTTTAGATTTGTTCGAATTGGTCACCTTTGGCACGAATTATGGCCTTCAAACGGCCAATGAAACTGTCACACGCTGTCCGAATGCTGCTCTGCGGTATTTTGGCCCATTCCCGTAAAGAGATTGCTTGAGGTGATCGACACTTTTTTAGTGGCTATCTTGCTTTCCAAAATACTCCAGACAGAATAGTCCAACGGATTGGTATCCGGAGAATATGGTGACCATTATGCGCTGGAAATGAATTAAGGAACTCCATTTTGTAACCATTCTTGAGTGGCGCGTGCTGAGTGCGATGGGGCTGAGTCCTGTTGGAATGTTCAAGGTCTGCGGCCAAAATGTTTACGTGTTCAACCTCGAGAATATTTTAGCGATAATATTTGCCATTTATTCTGATGTTATGGCGGCCCACACCATCACCATGGCCGGCGCTTGAGTTCTGTTGGCCAACAGAAGGTCCACATTTTCAGCTAAACTCTTTGGCAAGTAAACAAGACCATTTTGTTTGTTTACAAACTGGTGGACAACGAATGTTTTCTCATCGGAGAAACCCAAATTCGGCAGTTCACCACTTTCGGCCAAGCGAAGCAACTCTTTAGCTCTTTTGAGTC